CCTTCGTCGTAGCGGGGCGTCAGGTTTTTTCATACCGCTCTCGGGTGGAGCGGACAGTGCTAGTGTAGGAAGGGGGGGGCGGTTCGCTGGTTTGATATCGATTCCCTTCAGGTCCTGGCCATATGCGGTTCCATGTGCCAGCTGGTCATGAAACGCCTTGTGGAAGGCGATAAGCAAGTTGAGGCGGACGTGAAGCGGATTACTGCATCTGAGGTGGTAACGTTAGTGGCCCAATTATGATTCACTTTCACTGGTCGCGTTATGCGGAGGCGTGCTCAATAGGCCTTTACTGAGCTTCAACAGCATTCCGAGGATCGAGTTTGAAGTTCAGAAGAGGTGTATCGAACAGAACGAATATTTATCATTATCAACATACTCTGCGAAACTCGAAGTATTGATGACTCTAAGGTACTCCCGAAGACTGCCCAAGAGCTTGCCCACTGCATCATCCACACAGCATATCTAGCATCGAAGAACTCGGGAGGGGCCACTCGCGACCTAGCCCAGAGGATCGCTGATCAGGTAGGTCATTGACGGTGAGCGAGTCTTGCATGTGTATGTTTAGGTCGGCAGCTACCACAAGTTTGTGATGATTGACAAGGTCTGTGATGCTGTTGAGGAGGCCTTTACCGACTATGTCATTACTGATGAGGAAGGAAAGGTCGACGAGGGGCTCATTCCGAAGTATCTCTCACAGGGAGGTGAGCTCTTGGGTTTCTGCTGGCCTGCGTAGGGGGGATGGTCAGGTACTCGGACCACTGATCTGGCATTGCAGAATATCCAAGCTCGAAGTCGGATGGTAATGTCGTTTATGCTGGCACAGCTCCTTCCACACGCTAGGAGGCGTGGGGGGTATTTACTTGTGCTTTCCACTGGTAGTGCGTGTTCGCGGCCTTTCAAGGGTATTTTGATATCCCATTAGGGAATGTCGACGAGGCACTTCGTGGTTATTTGACGAAGTATGATTGTTCATCGGGTGATATCAATCCAATAGGCAGCATCTCTAAGGGAGATCTCAAGTCCTTTCTTGTTTGGGCATCGACTAACCTA